TTGTGGATAAAATTTGCCTTACAAGAGATGGCATTCCAGAAACATTCAGAGCACTAGTTAGTGTCACTGCTAGATACTTTCAACTGTGGAGGAGACTGAACCAGGAGCTGCAGAAGAATAACTTAGTCACGAGGGACTAATTTCTTCCAACCCCTCACATTCACAAATAGATCTTCTAGGAGTAGCAAAGAACATCCCCAATATATCTAAAACAAGGGAATTTACTTGTGCCAAGACTGAGATGAGGTAGAAAATGATAGACTGAGAGTCAAAGTTATTAAATACTTACAAATATATCTGCCTCTCATAAATGCTCTGAAAATTTAGATTTGCACTCAAATTTCAGTTGGAGAAACCTCCCCTCTTTTACTCAGTAGGTGAGGAATTCCCAGTCAGAACTCAATGTTACCCTCTCCTACTGTGTCCTGCCTCCATTTTCACTCTTAGATATGAAAGCGAAGATTCTGTGCTTGAAACTGCAAATAATTTCTGTTAAAAATATCTACTTCCAAATCAAAGTTTATGTACTTTCTTGCATAATGATGTTAGGCCTGTCACATCCCTACACTCTGTTGCATCATTCCTGAAGTGAATACATAGACTCTATCTTAAAATATCATTGTGTGAAATAAAATAATTCACAAAGAGACTTAACACATTGAAGAACACATATTAAATCATGGTTAGTGTTTCAACATCTGTAGCTTCTGCTCATACTGTTGGAAAAATAAAGATTCTGTGTCATAAATACCTTACTGGTGGGTTGGCATATTTGACAGAATTGGCAATTGTTCAAGTTGAATGAGGCTCCATGTGGACTTTTCATGTTATGGGTTACATACTCTGTTTTCATTGGTTATTGCTGCAGGAGAAATGAGTGACTGTCTCTACCTCTCTCTCTTCATGGTGCCTTGAAGTTGTTTGGATGGAAGCCAGGAAGGATTTAGAACAGCAATGAATGTGGTCATGGGTGAGCCACAGCCATGTGTTTAAGGACCAGTTGTGATGACCTGGGGGGCAACTCTCCAGAAAATGTTGTCAATTTATTGTCATCATCTTAATAAATGTTCACTACATTTAATTTTTAGGCTTAAGCCACGTGTGGTGCACAACTGTAATCCCAGAATTTGGGAGGCTGAAGCACGTGTATCAGCTAGAGTTTGGGGCCAGCTTGGACTACATAGTGAGACCCTGTCTCTAAAAAACCAAAAAATAAAAATAAATAAATTTTAAAATTAAAAAAATCCTCTATAAATGTAGCTTATTTGCTAACACTATTTTTTAAAATGTACATGGCATATTGCAGTGTATGTTAGACAACAATTTAATTGCAATTAATCTTATTGAGAGTTTTGTTGTCTGAGAAGAGGCTGTATAAATATCAATGTTGCCACTACCTAACTGCATAGTTTTGTTAAAGTTATTTACCAGTTTTGGGCCTTATCTGACTTATTTTTAAATAGGTCTGTGGATAAGCTATAATTGAAGATCAAATAATTCTGATAAACTGATAGTCTTGTTATTTTCAGGATATAATGCCATGGAAGACTTCATGATTTTTGTCATATACATATGGAATCTGGCACACAGCTTTCTGGGTATACTGTTGGTAGAAGAAAATATGAGACACTTATTCTTTATATGCAGAGGCTCCCCAATAGGAGTTGCATTCCAACTAGTAATTTTTAGATGTTGATGAGAAATTTTTAAGTGAATGTAATTAATCTTAGGTGTCACTAAATTATTGAGGCTGGTATTGAATGTTTACAAGACTGGGCTGAGAGATATTTTCAGAAGAAAGTGAAGCATCTGGGTCAAGGTTTGCATGGGGTTGATGCTGACAAGTTTTAGTCTTTTGAAGTAAACTACAAGCACAATAATTTAAGAAGGACTCAATGGAAATGGAAAAATTTCCCCTCATTGGGAGAAATTTGCATATATTTGGAGGTAGAAGGAGTGGACACCAGTGAGAAGGTAATTAATAATATTATTAGGAGAGGGCATTAATAGATAGAATGTGAATGACAGAGCACAGTGAAGAACGAACTCAGGATGGGTGAAGAGAAACAAACCTTTGTGAGGGGATAAGGTAAGTGGAATAAATTCCTGATACCATCTGCTTTTTTTATGTAAAGGATAGGGATCAGTATTTCTGAACAGATAATTTGATGCCAAATTAAGGACTTTATTATTTTTTTCACACACATTGCATTTTATTCTTTTCTAAAAGAGGCCTCTATGCCCCTTTAGGAAAATGAAATGAGGGGAGACAGCCACTGTGAAGGTTTTCACTGGAAGAAGTCCCCTGCCAGAAACAGCGCTGGAAGTTCACCTCTGCCCTTCCCGAGGGAAGTAGGAACTGGATTTCTTGGGTGTGGGCGACTGAGGCGGTGGTGGTCTTTTGGGTTTGGTCAGATGACAGCACAAATCAAAGCTTGGTCCAGGTCTCAGAGCTGTGGATGACTTTTATGGCATCAGACAGTGGGGAGAAGGAGGGAATGGAGCAGTGCAAAAACACACCCATCGTCCCATCTACACCCTGGGTGGATTTAAGGTCAAGATAGCTAAAGAATTTGACCTTCCTTATAGGTGCAAATGTCTTCTAGTTCTTCTCATCACTGGCCCACAGAAAGGTAGGTTGGGGAATGCATCAGTTACTTCCCAGCATCCCGGCTGGTAGAGTCCTGCCAGGACCTAATCCTGCCAGGTGGGCCCGGTTCTGGCTCACCAATGTCTCCCACCATAAGTTCAAGGTCACTTCAGTTCGCTCTTCCTCCTCAAACATCAGATCCTGAGCCAGGGTCGTGGATGTTTTCGTTCGTATTTCAATACTTCCCTCCATCTGAATGGAAGATCATATTCTTCTAACGATTTCTCTTTGGATCTCCAAAAAAGAAAAAAAAAATTATTTCTTTTTTTTGTTTAGGCAAAGATAACAGGAGTTTCTGGTCTGTGTGAGAGCTGAAATTCAGCTCTCCCAATGTAGGTGGTCTTAATTCCAGGTTGGTTAGTGTGCTGAGGTGTTAAGAAGGTCAGCCCCTACCAACCGCAGTGGCTGTTGCTGACCTTCCTAGCCCACCAGGGTCTCATCCTCCTTCATAGGTTCCCTATCTCACACCCTCACCTAATAAGCATGTTTTAGCATGTTTCCCCTTCTGGCGAATTTGCATAATTATTCACTGCCTTTTTTTTCTCCTACAACCCAATCATGGTAATGATATTCTCAAGTAAGCATCCCATAATTCTCTTGATTCTGTCATACACACTTGCTGCTAAGTTTGCCCTCAAATTACTGCATCATGTTAAACATGTAAAACAAAGAGAAAGGACACACTCTTCAGCAGAGAGTCAGGGATTGTGGCTGAGTGCAGACAAGACAGTGTAGAGTTCAACCATCCAAGCTCTACCAGAGCCTGAAGATATTTTCTATATTGCAGAGTAAGTTCCCCAACAGTCAGAATTTGTCCCTGAACAAGGTTAAACCTTAAACACCTGCTTCAAAACACTAAAACAAAATAATCCAAAAAAAAGAAAAGAACCTCTAAGCCTAAGGGCTTAAAAATTAGAGGCATAAATTTTTCTCTATTTCTATATTTATACAAAAATAATTCATGCTTCATGCTAAATACATTATTTACCTTACAAGAACTTTGTTATTTTTGAATAAAAAATGTTTGTTTTTGTCATTTTTTTCTTTTTCTTTTTTTTCTCCAAAGGAATCCATGCATGTAGATTAGAAATTTCTGCTAGCTACACTGGCTGAATGTGGAAAATCACTGTTTTTTCAAAAATGAATCCTGACTGACATTAATTGCAAACTCCTTGAAGGCAGTATAGGACTTATGATTTTATTTGTTTTTCATGTTTTACTTGTTTATGTCCATCAATGTGCCTCAAATCTTTAAAAAATATATCACATCACTAAATGGCAGGTTCCTTAGTTTTTTCTACTTTTTTATCAAATAGTTTTGCTAGACAGAAAAGAATCTACAGCATAATTTCCTTTCTTAGCAGCTACTGTAATTAGTTGGGTTTGATTGCTTTTCACTCAGGCAATTAAGACATGGCCTGTTTTCTGTGTCGGTTTCTCTTAAGTCTGGGGGGGGGTGTATTCGCGCACGTATGTGAGTGCATGTGTGTGTGTACATGTGTGTGTGTGTGTGTGCAGGGTCAACCTTTAGGCTTATGACTTTTAGAACATTGTCTTGATCTAGTAGTCAATAAAATTCGATAATTAGCATCGCTAAAAATGTACCTCCTTTTTCCTCCTTAGTTGCTGACACCTGATGTGTCTGAAGAGTCCTGCGTTCAACCTGTGAGATGGTGCCGGGTTTCAAAGCTAAGAGGCCCGAAAGGTGGTGGCCGAGCCCTGCGCTCACTGCAGGGCAAGACCTAGGCCTTCCTGCCGGGCACGCTGGGTATGCTGGGCGCCACAGGCATGGGCCTGCTCCTGGGGGCACGCAGGGCTCTGCTTTCTCTCCAATGTGCCTGGACTCAGTGTACATAACTGAAGGAGCACCTGATTTTGTTTAAACCTGTGTATGGGCTGGGTCTGGACAATGGCTACTTTTGCGCTTGAGCCTCCTAGGTGTTGTGTGTGTGTGTGTCGTGGTATTGAAGATCAGCCACATGTCTCGGACAGGCCATAGGAAGCAACGGGAAGTTTGGCTTTTTCGGTTTTGTCTTTAGATAATGAAAAGCCTTTGTAAAACAGCTGACTGTCAGAAATGAGTTCTATGGCTTCAATCTCCTTTAAACATAAAATTCTTCAGGGTCCGAAACAAAGGGGGGGGGAGGCAAATTAAAAAAAGAAAAAGAAAAGAAGGAAAACCAAACCAAAAGAAAAAGAAAAAAAATTGCTGGTATTGCCACAAATCAGTAGAAATCTCTGACATTCTGAAATTAAATGGCCATATGTTCAAAACAAATCAGTGACTTGTTTTCAATTTTTTGTGTTTTTCTTTTGTCCCTTCTGCCCCTTTGCCCTCAGATTGGTGATGTTATTCAAACAGGACCGAATCCTTGCTAAGTGCAGCAGCAACCCAGTTGCCTTTTGTCTCCTCGTCACTCCCTGGGGTTTTTTCTGTGCGTCTCTTTTTGAGGGGCAGCATGTCCCTGGGGACCTTCCTGGCCTTGGCAAAGTGCTGGTGCTTCTTGTGCTGGGAGGCGTACCTGCTGTTCCTCAGGGTATCCTTGGCCTCCTTTGTGCTGGACTTTCTATCATCTTCCGTTTCACTGTGGCTTTCATGGCTGTGGAAGCTTCCCTCACTGTATTCGCTGCCCTCCTGGCTTCCCTTGGTGGCAAACTCGTAGTGGTCATCAGCTGAAGACGACGACGAGGAGGAGATGGAGTCGCTGGCTGGTGAGGTGCTTTGGGAGTTGGAGGACTTGGCACTGCTATAGTTGTGGTCCTGCTAGGGGTCTCCGCTGATCACAGGGGAGTCACAGGACTACTTACTCTGCCGCATCCGGCAGCTGGTGATGCCATTCCTCATGGCTGCCATCATTCCAATGGGAGTAATTGGCAACCGCCGGACACCGGGAAACAGCCCTCTGCTCAGAACCCACGCTCCATGTTGTAGTTCTCCTGGAAGAATCTGAGCACAGGTATCACATCAGTTTTGCCATCTTCTGAATCATCTCTGGAAGTTCATCTTCATGAGTATCTTTAGTTGCACTGTCCTACTCCTAAATATTTGGAATCATTGTAAACTGCCTTTTGTTAAGGTTTGTGTCTAGTTGTCCCCCCCCCATATGAAGGACTTTAATACTAAAGTAAAGCTAGATTTGTTTTGCATAGCTCTCTGGGGAAAGTAGAGTCTCTGGCTGGGAGAGAGAATTCACTTGAAAGGTGTTTTACAGTCCTGGCACTGAAATTTGAATGAGCATCTGAATTACCTGGAAGATTTGCTAAAATATGGACATTTAGGCCTATCCCTACAAATTTCTGATTCAGTTTGTCTAGAATCAGACTATAATTACTATATTTGCATTTAAAGCAAATTTTCAAGTGATGGCATTGCTACTGATCAAAGATTATACTTTTGGAGCTACTGATTAAATTCACTGGCCTCAAGAAGTCTGTATGAGAGTACTAGATCCATTGGCTTTTTTTAGCTATACGATCATGGAAAAAGTCCTTGGTCTCTCTGTATTGATTTTTTATCTGAAAGATAAGGATGATAATGAAAAGACCTATAACAGAGGCTTTTGTTAAAATGTAGTTAAAGTGTGTGAAACACTTATAATAGGAACTGGCTCTGGTCTGCCAGTAACATGGATTACTCAAGAAGAGTTGAAAAGCCCATAGAATTGAATGGTCACTCCTTCAGACAATGTCTCCTCTCTGCCCTATACCTATCCTAAAATCCAGGCCAGTGGTGGCAAACTTGTGGCACATGTGGCACAGCAGGCTCTTTGTATCATTGAAAGCTCTGAAAGATTTTCCATCACTGGTCTGGTCTTCTCACAGCCTTTGCCTCAATGCCTTTGTATGCATTGGCTTCTATTGATATATCCAGAGAATCAATCCTTGACACTTAGTAGTAGTTTTTCTTGCAGCATGTACACCTGAGCTTGCACTTGCTTCCTCCTTATGTTTTCCATTAGAATTGCTCCAGGACAAGTGATAGCCCTGGCCTGCCTAGTTAATGTCCAGGCTTTTCATGAAGGTCACCTTAAACCTCACTGAGTAGAGACACAAAGAAGGCCTGAAGAGCTTTTCTATAAAGCGTTGGTTTTAAAAGTTGAATAGAGAATAATTTAAGGGTTAACCTCTTTCTTGGAGGAGTCATTCTGTACCCAGCCAGGCTGAAGACATATGCTGAAAAGAATGACACTGGGTATCTGGAGCTCTAGAGATGGGCTGATCTGTGCCTTCATGCTGATTATTAGAAATCTTTTTCTACTAGTGAACATAAATCTGTATGCCTGTACATTTCATGTGCAGGTTCTCATTTTTCCCCTCTAAATCATACAAACTTATTAGTTCCTTCTACACTGTGACAGTCTCTGATATTGGTAGAAAGTGATCAAATTTCCAGTTTTTTCAAAGCAAACCCAGTGTGTATATGAATGTGTGGTATTATAGCACAAATGATATATATGGCATGTCACCAATCTTAAGGGAAAAAGTATTTTAGTATTAATAATTTATATTCTTTATGTTCCTGCTTTACCGTAATTTAACTCCTTTTCACTTTTCTTGATTGACTGATTTCATTTAATTTTTTTTTGTGCCAGGCATAAAATGGCACACAAGACTGAAGAAGAATAAAATTATCACAATATTTTGCATAAAAACAACTAGATAAAAAAATATCTTCATATCTTAGTGATGCTTGTCCTCCAAGCAAGTTTTTTTTTCAGTGCTAAAAATCGAACTTAGAGCCTCAGGCATCCTAAAGGAAGCATTCAACTACCACTGAGCTGTATGTTCAGTCCTATAAGTAAGATTTTAGGGTGAAGTTTTTAAATGTTGTTTTGAATCCCTAGTTAAATGGATATTTTTTATGTTTACAAGAAGCATGTGCAGCTTATATCAGCATGCAATGGAGAAAAGAGCTTAGAGTTGGCCTTAAAATTTGGGGTACACATCTTGCCAAGCAATATTGTGATTGCTTAGTTGTTATTTAGTATTCTGGTGTTTTCATTTTATTTTCCCAGTTTTATTAAGGTATAATTAATAAATAAATATTATACATTTATCACATAAAATTCTATGTCCTGACATAAGTATACAATGTGAAATGATTAAAATCAAGTTTCATAATACATCTATCACTTCTTATATTTCTATTTTTTGTGGTAAATATTTAAGATCTAGTATTCTCTTAGTTTCTTTTCTCATTATTAGGACAAAACACACAACATTCACAAGTGAAAAGAGGAAATTATTTTTGGCTCACAGTTTGTAGAGGTTTCAATCCACAGTCAGCTAACTTCAATGCAGGGAAACACAACAGAGGGGCATATCAGAGGAGAAACAGGTCATGGTATGACAGGCAGGAAGTTGAGAGCCTTCCTTCTTTGCCTTTTTATCTCACAAACGTTGTAACCCTAGTAGTTGTTCCACTTAAACCTAAAGTGGTCTTTTCTCTTCTGTAAATCCATCACGCATACCTGGAATTTTATTAACCAATCAGTAAACATCCAGTATCACACAACCATGATCCAAAGCCCCACCTATGAGCACATCAGGCTTTGGCACAGACACACAGAAATCAGCCATTTCCTTGAAAAATTTTAAATATTCAATACATTATTAAAAATTATAATCAGCATGGTGTCTAATAGATCTCACTACATCATTCATTTTTCATAACTGAAACTTCATACCCTTTGACCAACAATTCTTTGTCTCTACTCATTTCTCCAATCCCTGGAAATTAGCAGTATATTCTCTGTTTCTATGTTTTCAATATTTTTAAATTCATATGAGTTAAATGAGACAGTATTAGATTTCTGTGCCTGGATTATTTGATTTATCATATAAGTCTCCAGGATTATTCTTATTGTCTTAAATGACCTGTGGGGATAACATTGCTTATTATTTAATACCTATTCTCTGTCCATTTACCTATTGATGGGCACTTAAGTTGATTCCATATCTTGGCTGTTGTGGATAATGTTCTAAAGGATATGAGCGTGCAAATATAACTTCAACATACTAATTTAATTCCTTTTGTTTTATATCTAGTAACAATATTTCTGCATCATATGGTACTTCTCTTTTTTGTGACATGCACCATGTTGTTTTCTGTAGTGGCTGTATGTTAATTGATATTCTTGCTAACAGGAAAGACAGTTTTTTTCCCCCAACATCAATGCCAACACCTGTTATCTTTCATCTTTTTTATAATGTTCATTCTAACAGGTATGATGTAATAACTCATTATAGCTCTAATTTGCATTTCACTGATAATGATGGTCAGCTTTTTTATGCAATTTTGATCGTTTGTATGTCTTCTTTTCAAAACTGGTCAAATCTTTTTTAGCATTTTACAGTTCAGTTCTTTGTTTCCTTGCTATTGAATTGTTTTAGTTCATTACTTATTTTAGATATAAACTGCTTATCAGGTGTGTGATGTGAATGTATTTTTCTCCCACTTATTAAATGATCTACACACTCTATTGTTTCCTTTTCAGTAAAGAATCATTTTAATTTGAGTCAATTCTAATTAGGTGTATTGCCTTTTGTTTGCTGTACTTTTGAATTACACAGCAGCTCTCCATACCAATGAGTATTGTATCTCTGACTTCAAACAACTGCAGATTTAAAATATTTGAGGAAAATTGTGTCTGTTCTAAGAATATATAAACTTCTGTTATCATTCTCTCCAAACACAGTGCAACAAAAAATTAAGCAATATTTACATGTTATTGGTTTACATGGGAAATCTAGGAGCAATTCAAAGTCTGGGAAGGGGCTGGAGAGATAGCTCAGTAGAATAAGCATTTGCCTGGGAAGCGCAGGGTCCTGAGTTCAATCCCTGGCACAATAAATAAATAAATAAATAAATAAATAAATAAAGTCTGGGAAAATGTGCATACTTTATAAACAAATAATGCATCAGTTTATGTAATAAGGGGCCTCAGCATCTGCATATTTTGGCACCCAAGAGATAACCTGGAGCTGATCTTCCACAGATAACAAAGAATGACAGCGTATACAAAAGCATCTCTTTGTTTCTCTTTTCTTCTGGTAAATTTAGAGTTTCATGTTTTATGTTTAAGTATTTAATCTATTTTGAGTTGGCATTTGTGTTTGCTGTGAGACAAGGGCGAAATTTTATTCTTTTGCATGTGAATATTCAGTTTTCTTAATTATCATTTACTGAAGAGACACTTCTGTTCCCATGGAGTGTTATTGACAACTTTGTCAAAGAGCAATTGATTTAAATGTCTGGATTTGTTTATTAGATTTCTATTCTGTTCTATTTGCATGTATATGTTAGCCAAAACTATGTTTCACTGACTGTTTTAGTTTTATGGTGTATTTTGATGTCAGGTAGTAATGATGCTTCCATCTTTTTTCTTTTTTTCTCAGATTGCTTTGGTAACTCAGGATCTTTGTAATTTCATGCATTATTAGTATTGCATTTTCTATTTCTGAAAAAAGTCATTGAAACTTTCATGAGATTACAGATAATCTATAGAGCACCTTACATAATATGAACAACTTAATAATATTAATTATCTACATCCATGAAAATAGGCTATCTTCTCACCAGTTTGTGTTTTGTCAGTTTATTTCATTAATGTTTTAAAGTTTTAAGTGTACAGATCTGTCATCTCCTTGGTTAAATATGTTAACCTATATTTTTTTCCACAATTATCTTATCAGGCTTGGGTGTTAGGGTCATGCTTGCCTTATGAGTTTGCAAAGGTTCCATATTATTCATTTTTTGGAAGAATTTGAGAAGGATAGATATTAATTGTTCTTTAATTGGTTGGTAGACCTCACCAGTGAGCATACCATGCGCTAATGGATTTAATTGGGCTCTGAATCTCTTTGCTCTTTATTGATGAGTTTAGGTTTTTTTTATTATTTTGTACTTCAGTCCTGGTAGACTGTATGTTTGTAGG